ACGGAATTAGTGGAAAGGGGTCACTTTCAAAGCAAAATGAAAACCATGGGAAAGATTTCTAGAGTTATCAAAGTTTAGGTCCCACTTTCAAAGATTTCACTAAACCACGGGGACCAAAATTAGAGTTTACTCATTTTTTTGTTGATCATGTTGTGGAAATAATTTATTGTTTTTTATTAATTTAACTTATTAAGGTGTCCAAATAAAAAGAAATTATATGACACATTTATCAGTGTTATAAACTTAACAGTTTCATTATATCAGGTGTCCAAACAAATCAATTATGTTGTAGTGTTTTGCTTATATTATCCCTTGGTTTGATACTGTTTAAGATAGATTTTGATGAATGGTTTGTGAACAAAATATTAATGTTGTACAAAATTGAGCTCTACGTAACACCACTCGGCTCAGTATCCACGTTTATAATTGAAGGACATATGTCATAAATTTCATCTAATGATAGTTGAGGTATTGCATTTGTTCTTAAATAAATACAATTATTTATTGAACACGTAAAATTAAAATATTTTAATCATTACCATTAACGATTACTACAAAGGGATAACTAAGAGTGTTCTACCAGCACACCTTCCACGTTACGTTATATACGTCAAATACGACCTAATAAATGGGCTTGTTGATCAAATTGTCATGGCATGTATGCGTCAACCAATATGCCATCATCTGACCTACTCGTCCCTCCAATAAAAATAGGAAATACAATCTACATCGTGTCTACTATGCATTTAGTATGTAAATGGATGTTTCGCCTACCGAACTTACATTTCTTATGTAGATCACACACATTCAACTCTTACGACGCCTAACCAACATGTCCACTCAGGTTTCTCGAACAACCCGAAGGTCTCCTCCTAGCATTGATCATAGGGTAAATCCAAACACTGATGTTGGTTAAAAGCAACTCGTTACTCAGATAATTTCTCCATTCACACTATTCTGTCATTAAACTTTATATAATGCCCTATTGCCATTCAATTCATTGGGGTTTTTTAATTTATTAACCTGGATATCCAACCCGCTATGCGAGCCGACTAATCCCAGAACGACCACCTGCTATGCAGATAGTCCGGAGTCATCGTAAAACTTGGTTTTTACGATGCTTTAATCAATACAAAAAATATTTACATTACTATTTGTATGAAAATGTTTATTACATTTATGTGGAAGCAAAGAAAGTCAAACATGCAATAATGGTTGGTACATTGCATGATGCAATCACTTGTACATTGATGTGGGTCTCAAATCACAGACTTGTAGAAAGTGAGAAGCAATATAACCCATATAATTCATTAAAAATATCATAAATAAAAAATAAAAAATAATTTAAAATTTTAAGATAATTATCATTTTAAATTGGATCAAATATTCTATTAATATATAATAATTATGACCACTGAATTTATCAGAACTGATTTCTTACAATCATCTTTTTCTAAACCAACAAGATTTATCATCATCAACAAAAATTATACAAGTACGGAGGACATAAAGCAACGAAATACAACAAAATCGAGTTTTACACAGGTTTTGTTCTTACATAAATTATTTATTTTACTTTAGATAAATTTGTTCCGATGTAAATTCATTTAATCTAATTATTCTTTTAAACATTATTATAAAAAATTATACCAGTTTAATATGTAATTTATTATTATTAAATCTATATTATATTATAAAGTATTTGATAAAAACTTTTGAAAACCATTTTTTATGCTTGTAGTACTATTTATTGATGCATATTACTTAAAATTCAAGGTTACAAACAAATTGTGCGTAAGTACAACTTATTAAAGCTTCATGTTTGAATTCGTGTAATTAACTGCAGATAATCATAGTCAAATACAAGATAAACATTTCATTTTAAATATAAAAAATCTAAAATATAGTTAGGATAATTATTGAGTTCTAACAGAATACTTAATTATCATTCTTATAAAAAATTATATATTATTAAATCAAAATTAAATTACTCATTATTAAATCTAAATTAAATTATAAAAAAAATTGAATTAAAGAAATTACAAGAAAAACAAGAACTTTTAAAAACCATATAAAAATTTAAACAGTTAATTTGATACTAATATTGATATATTTATTTTCGAAATTTTATGATATCTTCAAATTTATATTTTATTCAAAAATAAAAACATTATCCATTTAGCAAAACCACATAAAAACCGTATTAAAACATCTATAGAGACGGAATAAAACGAAACAGTGAAGTCCAAATATATCTTGCTCATAGCGCGAGTACTCTTCTAGTATATATATTAAATGATAACAAATTAACCAAGTAGTTTATGCCCAAAAAAACTATATACCAATTTAATTACGTAATTTTAACCCACATTCACTTCACCTAATATGTATGTTTTATTTTAATTCATACTGGAAGAGTACTCGTGCAATTTTAATGTTCTATTTTATTATTTGTCTCTGTTGCTGTTATAATATGATTTTATGTGTTTTTAAGAAAACAATAAATTTGAAGATATCATAAAAATTTGATAAAAAATGTATCAATGTTAATATCAAATCAACTATGTAAAAGTTCTCATTTTTTATGTAATTTTTTTAATTTATTTTTTTATTATAATTTAATTTAAGTTTAATAACGAAATAATTTATTTTTGATTTAATAATATAAATTTTATAAAGATAATAATTAAGTATTCTGTTAGAACTCAATGATTAATTATTCTAATTATATTTTAGATTTTTTATATTTAAAATGAGATATTTATCATGTATTTGATTATATTTATCTGCAGTTAGTTACACGAATTCAAATATGAAGCTTTAATAAGTTGTACTTACGCACAATCTACTTGCAATCTTGAGTTTTAAGCAATATACATTAATAAACAGTACTTTAGATATAAAAAATAGTTTTTAAACGTGCTTCAAGAATACAAAAATGTACGAACCATATTTAACATCGTAAATGTTTGACGAACTTGAAAGAAAAAACCTTAATTATATTAAATTTTAAATACGTAAAATAATAATTTTTTATTATAAAAATTAATAAATAAATATGAAAAATACACAGGCATTGTAAGTGTGGCTGGATGACAAAAGATTTTGACTGTGTCGCACTCCCCGTGTTTCATCATTTATCCGATAAAAACAGCCGCCCAGTGCTTTCACGGGTCCTATTTACACTTTTTTACCACCATTTCCCTTTTCGTACATTCTACTCCCCTCACTTTTCGACATGTTAACATCGGAAGAATATTAGATAACAACATCAAAATGGGACTGTTTTGAACTTTTATGTCATGTTTTTTGATATGGAGGGGGGAAGACCCCTCCTATCAAAAAAAAAAAAAAAAACCAAAAACGCAAGATAAATTCGCACTCGGGTGGGGGCGAACCACATCCACCAGAAAAAAGCCAAGGAGCCCCGAGAGAGAGGAAAGGAAAGAGAGAAAACTAACCACAAAGGAAGGCACAAACAGACAAGACCCGGGCAACCAACAAAGAAACAACAAATGAAAGAGAAGGGGCCTAAAACAAGCTCGTCCTAAAACTTTTACGCCATGTTAAGAATTAAAGATCTTGACGGATTTTTTTTACTATTACTTTGTGATATAAATAATCGGCATGCTCTCTCTTTCTTGATTGTGAGTTGTCAAGAGTTAATCGAAGCAAGTTGATGAAAAAGTGCAAGGAAGAAATAACAAATTGTAAACTAGTCCTTTGAATTATTAGTAACATGCATCTTTCACCCTTTGGTTTCTTTCTTTAACGCTTACGGTCCTTGCTTGTTTTCTAAGTCAATTTTTGGTATTTATTGTTGTAAGATAAGATATTGTAAATTGAATGACAAGCAAGTTGGTTTTTATGAACTTTAAATGTTTAATATTTGGTATTCTAATGCTTACAGGGGTTTTAGTAACGACTTTTGTCTTCATTAATAGTCAGTTATCATCGCAAACGGTTGATAGAGATTACATGTCGTCACAATAACTTCTTGCTAAAACATGTCACCGCTAAAGGCGCGTCGCTGGAACTCTCTTTTCTAGTAGTGGGTCCATCACCAATACAGTGGCAAGGGTTGTAGTTTTATTTTACTAAAGCTATTCGTTTCTACAGTTTCTCCATCCCTTGTTATTGGCTGTGGTTGTTTGTCTTTACGTGCATAGAAGTCACATATCTATGTGTGACAAGGCCCCACCATGATCATAAAACATTTTTCATCCAAAAGACTTTGTTCATACATTCTACTCCAAGTTTCCAATAATGTCACCCATTCAGATATGATACGCTCAAACGTGCATGTGCAAAAAGTGAGCAACTTAACCAGTACAATATACAAAAAGAGCTTTGTCATCACAAAGGACAGGTTCCCTAGAAAACCAACATCGATTACATAGTTTCTTTATCAACTTAGGTCAAATATACAAAGCAAATATTAACCCCCTAAAAAAAATGCAATTTTTAAAGATAATTCAAGTTTTTCAACCATGGTATTTGCTTTTTTCTTATAAATAATCTGCGATGATGCTTAAAGAATTACAGCATACATAGAAAAACTAATTTTAAACATGTTATTGTCTGAAAAATCGTTTATTCTTATAAAATACGATACTACATTGAAATTGTTACCAAAAAGATTACCAATTTATAATGAACCGAATACGATGATACGGACACTCCGTTGTTTGATTTTTCTATTCACTAAAAAAGTGATCGAAATACTCCAAGGAGAAAAATTGTAAGTTATCGAATACCCGGGGACTGTTTTTGTAATTCCCACCAAATAAATCTTTCACGGGCCTTGTGTCAGTTTCTTGAAAAAATGGCATCCAACTTGATTCCCTCCCATCTCTCACACACACCAAAAACACACACACACATACAATTGAACCATCACGGGTTGCTACAAAACAACATGTGCTTCAAACTTCAATCCCTATAAAAAAACCCAGACCCACAATTCCCACCTTCATCACTTTCCATTTTCACCACCAAAAATGGCATCAAAAAACAGACTAACCTCTGTTTTCGCCATTCTTGCAATCTTCATGCTATGGAGATCCAAAGTTCTGGCCCAAAACAGCCCCGTTTTCGCCTGCGACATCGACAAGAATCCGGCCCTCAAGAACTTCACGTTCTGCGACTCGTCGTTGGACGTCAAAACGAGGGTCGATGATCTGGTGAAACGGCTGACATTGCAGGAAAAGATTGCGAATTTGGTGGATAACGCTGGGAGTGTCGACCGGCTCGGGATACCAAAGTACGAGTGGTGGTCAGAGGCTTTGCACGGGGTTTCTTACGTTGGTCCAGGTACCCATTTCTCCAGTGTGGTCCCTGGAGCCACCAGCTTCCCTCAAGTCATTCTTACCGCAGCCTCGTTCAACGAAACCTTGTTTAAAACCATCGGAAAGGTACATCCACTAAACTTCAACCATGATAACAATCGCCAATCGGCATTCTGATTTAAATCGAATTGACGCGAAATGAAGACCGGAAATTGCTTATTGTCATGGTCGTCGTTTTCTACGACGTCGAGACGTATACATGCACATACAGTCCAACTATTTTGCCGTCGATAATTGCATGTCGTAATATTTCACTCGAAAGCAGGGTCAGATGGGTATACCAGTATTCTTATTTAAAATCTATAATTAAAAGATGGGTTTTCTTGTAACCATCAAAATTAATAAGACTTGTGATTATAGGTTGATGGTGAGGGACCAATACGTCTTATTTTAAGTTTATAATTAAAAGTGTCTTGTAGCTCCTTTATTAAGTAAGCTGGTGGAGCCAGCCAGCCAGCCAGCCAGCCACCCATTTTCACTTTTCTTCTGAGGATTATTTGTTTTTGGGAATATTTTATTTTTATTCAATTAAAAAATTGCAAAAAGAATATTTTATTTTTATAATATTGAATCTGTCTTTTTCAAAACTAATGTAGGTAGATAACAAGAGGATAAAATGATCTGGCCTGCTAAATAACCTTTGTATCTGTTATATAAAAATGTTATAATAAGCTGTTATATAAAATTGAATAATCTAAACATATTCAAAAAGTAAATTCTGTTAGCAGTTTTATCTGATATGTTACAGAACACTTTTTAAAAAGTGTCAGTATTAAATATTAGGCTGATAGAACTTGTAAAGTCGTCTGGTTTCTTTCTAACAACTTGCATTGTGATGGATTTGGAATTAGAAAGCTAGAAATTTTAGATGAAACCTAACATTAGAAGTTTCTAACCAAACAAATCTTGGAGTGGTATAAAGAGAGTAATCTAGAAATAGATCATTTATGATTCTATAGCATTATCCAGATAAGCTGGTCTAACCAACAACAACGGTAGGTGTAAAATTAATCTAAATTTATCAAAAGGGTTGTTGGTCAAGCAATACCCGGGTTAACGATAGATCCTCTGCAGCTCTTAGAAGTCAATGGTTCAAATTTTCACCAAATGTGAGGAGTGTATGTGAGTGTTTTGCTATATATGAATATAGAAGGATACTCGGACAATGCAGCGAGATACATCTCGATTTTTATGTTTCGTTTTATTCTTTGTTTTTGTTGATGTTATAATACAGTTTTATATGGTTTTGGGAAAAACGATAGTATTTTTATTTTTGAATAAAATATAAATTTAAAGATTTAATAAAAATTTGAAAAAGAAAATATATAAGTTATCGCTTTTTTTTGTAATTTTTTTAATTATAATTTAATTTAGGTTCAATAACGAAGTAATTTATTTTTGGTTTAATAATATAATGCTTTATAAAAATAAAATAAAAATATTATGTTAAAACTCAATGATTATTATAATTATATTTTAGATCTTTTATATGTAAAATGAGAAGTTTATTATGTATTTGATTATGTTTATCTAGAGTTGGTTAATCAAATTCAAACATGAAGCTTTAATAAGTTGTATTTACGCTCAATTTACTTGTGACCTTGAATTTTTAAATAATATGCATCAATAAGCAGTACTTTATGTATAAAAAATAATTTTTAAGAATTTTTGTCAAATGTTTTATAATATAGTGTAGATATAGATTATATACTTCAAAAAATTAATCGAAATTTGGTTAATTTTGATGGGTATAGGTGGTTTCTACCGAAGCCAGAGCAATGTACAATGTTGGTTTGGCAGGACTAACTTTTTGGTCACCGAATATAAACATTTTCCGGGATCCGAGATGGGGAAGAGGTCAAGAGACCCCGGGTGAAGACCCGACTTTAACAAGTAAATATGGAGCGGCTTACGTACAAGGCTTACAAGATAGCGACGATGGTGACAAAGATCGGCTCAAAGTCGGGGCTTGTTGTAAGCATTACACGGCCTATGATGTCGATAACTGGAAAGGCATCGATCGATACCATTTTAATGCCGTGGTACGTATATATTCACATGAAAATATGACTTACAAATTATACCGTTACTGCATTGATAAAAGTATTTAGACATGGATTCATACATTTTACGTTGCTCATCAGCTCCCACTTCGAGTGGATATACTGAGTTTGTTTGGTTTATATTGATAAAAGTATTTGAGGGGTTAATTTTTGTTCTTTCTATAGGTTACGAAGCAAGATATGGATGATACGTATCAACCACCGTTCAAGAGCTGTGTTGTGGATGGTAATGTTGCAAGTGTTATGTGTTCTTACAATCAAGTAAACGGCAAGCCAACGTGTGGTGATCCGGATCTCCTAACCGGAGTTATCAGGGGTGAATGGAAGTTAAACGGGTAAAACCGAAAACATTTCCAACTTGTATTGATTACTTGCACCATAATCATCAGAACGGGTTATCAAGGAGAATAACCTTGTGACAGATTTGAGATAATCTTGTGTGAGGAATATCCATTGTTTTAATAGGCAGAGAGGTTCTTAAATCTGTCTGAAGGTCATGCATTTAAAAAAACATGTCAGAAAGTATTTCTCCTAAATAAACCTCCCTTGAGAACAAACTTGTCTAGTCTTTGTGACATATAAGACTGTCGGTTTATGCAGGTACATAAGTTCTGATTGTGATTCGCTAGATGTGATGTTCAATTCCCAGCATTGGGCTAAAACACCTGAAGAAATCGCAGCAGATGCATTGATAGCAGGTATTAAATTACTCTCCAAAAGAGCCATTAAGGATAGAAATAGGGTCGCAACATGTATTGGAGTACAATGTCCAAGTCTTGTTGATGTAGGACTCTAACATATGTTATGTAAAGATTAGGGGACTTGGTTGTTGTTTACTAGTTGCTTGTTACCTCTTACCGGATAAGAGGCGCTTACCCGGTTAGAGATAATGTTGTTTACTAAGCTTTCTTACCGGTCCATGATGCTTACCGAGATGCCAACCTGATAAGCTAAGGGAAGGACTTTTACTCGGTCAGCACTTGCATGGACCGGACCTCCTACCCAACCTCCACTCTTACTTGCTTAGCACTTACATAATTTATGTCAGTAAACAACCCCTAAACGTCTGGAAATTTTGCAGGGTTGGATCTCAACTGTGGGAATTTCCTAGGTAAATACACAGAAGGTGCCATCAAAGCTGGGCTAGTGAAAGAATCTGAGGTTGATAGGGCTGTTTCTAACAACTTCGCGACGCTTATGAGACTAGGGTTTTTCGATGGTCATCCAAGCAAGCAAATCTACGGGAAATTAGGTCCAAAAGACGTGTGCACACCAGCTAACCAGGAGCTAGCACGTGAAGCGGCTAGACAAGGAATTGTGCTACTTAAGAACAGTGTTGGGTCCTTACCTCTTTCTCCAACCGCCATCAAGTCTCTAGCCGTGATCGGGCCCAATGCCAACGTCACGAAGACCATGATTGGAAACTATGAAGGTATTTAGAGTACATTACAGAATAAAAATCTCTTATCTCAAATCCCATATCCCCTTCTTGTCCGTGTCTTCACGTAATTGGTGGGACTGGGAGGGAACATGGGATCCGGAGACCAGAGATTTTTATTCTACATTAGGTCACTAGTGTGTGTATGTGTTTTTTCCCGCTAGAATCCTAATGTTTCTGAGCGTAAATACAGGTACCCCGTGCAAATATACAACTCCACTTCAAGGATTAACGGCCTCGGTACCAACAGTATACCAGGCAGGCTGTGATAATGTAGGGTGTGGTACTGCACAAATAGAGGCCGCTAAGAAAGTAGCAGCTGCCGCTGATGCAGTTGTTCTAGTAATGGGTACGGATCAATCTATAGAGGCCGAGAGTCGAGATAGGATTGATATCACTCTTCCCGGGCAACAAAACAATTTGATTTCGGAAGTCGCGAATGTATCTAAAGGCCCGGTGATTCTTGTTATCATGTCTGGAGGGGGAATGGATATTCAGTTTGCTAAAGATAACCCGAAAATCACCAGCATTTTATGGGTCGGGTTCCCTGGTGAAGCGGGTGGTGCTGCGCTAGCAGATATCGTTTTCGGGCAGTATAATCCATGTAAGGTTTTTTAATTGTATCGCATTGCACAATACCTTTAAAAAACTAATCTCTTTGAGATAGAGAATGCATGCATCTAACGTGTTAACATATATATATTTTTTTTGTGGTGTGGTTGTAGGTGGAAGACTACCCATGTCATGGTACCCCCAATCTTACACAACAAAGGTGAACATGACCAACATGAACATGAGACCAGACCCAGCCACAGGCTACCCGGGTCGAACGTACCGGTTCTACAAAGGAGACACGATTTACACATTTGGTGACGGACTAAGCTTTTCCGAGTTCGCTCACCACCTAGTTTCAGCACCAAAACTCGTGTCGGTGCCACTAGAGGAAGGACATGTTTGCCGATCATCTAAGTGCAAGTCAATCGATGCAGTTGAGCAAACTTGCAAGAATTTAGCATTTGACGTTCATTTGAGGGTGACGAATAATGGGAAGATGGGTGGAAGTCACACCGTGTTCTTGTTTTCGTCACCTCCATCGGTCCATAACGCACCCCAGAAGCAGTTACTGGGGTTCCAGAAGGTGAATTTGGCATCAAGGCAACAGGGTGTGGTTAAGTTCAGTGTAGATTTGTGCAAGGATTTGAGTTTGGTTGATGAACTTGGGACCAGAAAAGTGGCATTGGGGCAACATATTCTTCATGTGGGAAACTTGAAACACTCCTTAAATGTGAGGATATGATGTGTGTGTGTGTGTGTTTGTAGTTTCCCACAAGAAAATACTTTTAATTTTTTTGAGGGTGGTCAAGAAGAAAATTGAAGTCATCGCAAGATGCAATTTATTTAATGATATCATTGGAAATCATAAAAAAAATCTCATTTCGTTTTATCTGTTTACTATCCATATTTTGAGACATAAGAACTCTTTGTGGATTTGGTGTGAAGCTCAGTTGGCAAAGGTGGGGCAACTTTGCCCAAGTACAAGACAATTAGTCCCAAGTTCGATCCCCTTGCTAGCCCTGAGTGGCCCAAAAACTTGCTTCCTCGCATTAGTGTTCTTGGAAACGGGTTCCATGTAGGACTGGTTGGGATTGACAGTAATCAACTTTTGTCCAAATAAGAACGCGCTGTCGAGCATTACTATTTTTCTACTACGAGTCAGCCTCCAAAAGGCCTAACTTCATTTGCAATTAACCACACTACAAGAAAATCGACTTTATAGTATGCCAAACATACCCAAATAATTATGCGTCTTATGCAAAAGTCTTGCAATATTCTAATAGGACACTTTTGGCTGTCCTAGAAAGTTATGTATGATACTCTTGAAATAGAGTGTCATATTAGTCTTTTTATTTGACTTATTTGAAAAATGTCTTATAATAACAAATGTACTATATATCTGAATGGAATTAAAGTATTTACTTCCACCGATTGATGTCGTTCTCATTGGCGCCACATATATCTGAATGGAATTAAAGTAGAAAGACAATATTATCCCTAAATCAACGGAACAATAATTAGTGGATAACAAAAATAAAACCATAACAATTATACTTATAATTATTCCGTTAACCCAATCTAAAATTTTCAATAACCACCGGGGATAAAATTTGTAACTTAGGGACCGTTTACTAAACACTTACCCGGTAACTGTTTACCGGGTAATTTTTCTTATCGGGATAACATGACAAGAGTCAAAAATCTTATCCGGTAAGAGCAACGGTAAAGATGAAAAGTATTATTTGGTAAGTGAGAGTGACGACTCTTGCTCGGGTAAGTGTTTACCGAGTAAATTATTGCATACGATAATATTTTGATGTACTACAATTTTATTTAATAAAATACAATAAATGTTTACTTTTTATTTATTTATTTTTTATTTTTTATTTTTTATTTTTTAATTTTTACGAGGTTCGGTTAGGTGTAGGAGGGAAGAAGGTATGACAAAGCCTAATTGGTAGATTATGGAAAGGGAGCCCGGGTCCTGATTTTTCACTTCGCAAAAACTCCATGGTAGGTGACGCGGCGACCTCCCTCCGACTTCAGGCCGCTCTTCTCCTCCTCCTCCTCGTCGCCTTAGCAAATTCCGCCTTCTTCGTTGTATCCGGGGAGTTGCCTTCTCTGAGTAAGCTCTCTCTTAACTCTCACCTTCGAACTAGTAGTATTTTTATTTTTACTCTTTTGTACTTATTGTACGTAGGCATGTTCTTTGGTTCTTAATAATTAGGAATCAGAGTGAAACCCAAGAAATTTCGGGTCTTATGGAGGTTATTAACTTATTACTGTTCAACTAAAGTGTGTTTCTCTCGATTTCTGACGTTGTATTTGAAGCAAGGGTTCCTAATTTGTTTGATTTAACATAGTGTTTTGTTACTTTTAGCTAATTTATGTTTCGAATTAGTGAACAAAGGTGATAGTTCATAGTGTTGGATAAAAGAAGACGGCCATAAATGAGACAAACATCAAGTTCACACATGGTAATATGGTATGATGTCCAATTGACTACTTGACAACCCTTTCGGGTAGTTAAAATCTTATGATAGCACCAAATGCTAGCAGAAAAGTAAATTAAATGTCTTCTGGATAATTCTTGGGAGAAGGTGAAAGATGACATAAAAATGAAGGTTGAGGAGACCTACCAAAGGTTATTGACCCAGAAGTATCTGGGTCACAGGTAGAGCTCAACCTCCTTGGAGGTTTTTGGTTCAAATCTCACCAAAGGTGAGGAGTGAGTGCTAGTTTTGCAGCATATAGATATTATATACTAAAAAAAGAGGTTCCTGAAGAGTTGGATCAATATATCTTCTTTCATCCTCTGAAAATGATAATAACCTTTCTAGCAAATGGGTTTAAAGGCAGATGTTGGGTAATGGACGTATATTAAGGATTTGACCGGTGTACGTCTTTGTAATGTGCTTTTCTTTTTCGCGGTATTGGACTTGAGAAATTATAAATTTTGCCATTCGATAAATGAATAAAGCTCCTAGGAACTCTTCCAATAATTTCCCCTGTTATCTATTTCTTTAATTTGCAGCTGTTGCAGAGTTTGCTTCATTGCAGCTATCCCCAAGCTTGGTAGTGGAAGGGTCTCCTGGTTCAAAACCTGGGTCTCAAGTTATTTGTGAAAGAGTGGAAATCAATGGCTTGTCGAGGCTTAGAAATCTCACAAGTTTCTTCTCTTCTGTGAAGGTGAAGGTTCTAAACATGAATTCTACAGGTCGTCCTCCAAACATTACCGTTTGTTTTCATAGGTGAGTTGTGATGCATTAAATGACCATTATGACTAGATTGAGGTCATGGGAACTTTTATGGAATCAATAGTGAGTATCTGGACCTCTATAGTTGTTGATCCTCTTATCTTTGCTACCTTCATGCATAGTAAGATAAGGTTGTATATGGTAACAAATCTATGAGATGTAAAACTTCATTATGTCATTGTGCATTATATATTTTTTATATCAAACTAATTTATGTTGTTTATGTTCTAAGTTTTTCATAACTGGCTTTTAAAGGTGTATCATGTTGAATTCATCATTTGATTGGTTGAGAATCCAATGCTATTCCTCATATTAAGTAGTCTCTCAATTAACCAGTCATTTTCACTTTGATCCTCAAAAGTTGTTATTACTGTTGAAGATTCAATTATTTGCTTGAATGGAAAAGTTAAAATATTTAGATGATCTAAGAAGGGGAAAATAGGATAAGTTAGTTTGATTTTTGTTTACACAACTGATTATCTTAGTATATCAAATTATCGAGATAAAAGTTCCAAAACAAACACTCAAAGTGGAAGATGTCTAACAAAGCTAAAACTTAGATAGTTTTTAATAAATAAATACTTTATTCTTATTAACTTCTCCCTCTCTTACGTCTACTAATTAGTTTTGGCAATGTGATACATTGCTGCCAGAAGTATGAACCTATAGCCTACTCCTGTGAGTCTGCTGCTAACTATCTTTTGCGTTTTAATCTGCTTTGGCCTTTTCTCCTGTAAGATATGTCTCTTCTTGTGGATTCCAAAAACGCCCTAATGGTTGTGTATATGTATATTATGCAGAAATGCATCTCTTGGGGTGGGGATGTGCCCTGAAGGTCAGTGGGAGAAACTTACCAAAGGGTCATGGGTTAGATCCATGTCTCCATTTGACCACAAGCTCTTGGACATACGGATAACGGGCTCTTCTGTTGGAACCGTTGAGGTCTTACTGAGTGAAGGTCAACTGTTTGATTCATTGAAGTCAAGTAAACCATCTGCATATTATTATACCGACACTAAACTCATTTTCGTGCAGAATTTTATTTGTACCGCCTCATATTTTTGGTGCTGGGAATAACACTGATGACATTTGCATCCTCGTTGAGCAACTCTTTAGTAATCTACTATGGTGGTGCAATGACATTAGGCATTCTGCTTGTCGTGTTAGTGGTCCTCTTTCAGGTTAAGCACATAACTTCGTTAGCCCCAATTTACGATATATTTACATGAAAATTATGCTGATATATTAGTATTACAATTGTATGTTTCTTGTATTCCAAGCGACTTCTGAATTGGTTAATTTTGATGTCGAAGTTCCATAAACTTTATACTCTGTTGTTTGGTTAAATAAATTCTACAAGTATAACTTTATTATCATATATTCACCATGTTTGTTACTTTTAATGCAGGGTATGAGGATCCTCCCAAGTGGTCGAAAGAGTTCACTTGCATTAGTTCTATACGGATCCATTGTGAGTTCCCCATTTATCTTTTGCTTAGTTAGTGTTTCAAATAATATCTTTTTTATATAATATTTATATACGGAAAATACTCACGCACACTCCTCGCCTTGACCTCCTGTGAGGCTGGGCTCTACGGGTAACCCAGCTACTGCTGGGCCAATGACCCTTTGGTAAAATATATCTTACGCTGTAATTTAAGTTCATGTCAACATCTTACTTCTTCAGGTTGGAGTTGTATCCTTTCTGACTAGCTACATACCTACATTATTGCGCTCATTACTTCTGGAGATGGGAATCGAGGAAGACTTGTACAATCCTGTATGTAAGTTCAATATAAGAAATGTTGTGTTTTATCTCAGATTTCTTTCACATATATAAGCGGTGGAGTTTGCCTGCATCTGAATGAACTGGCGGGCATAGACATCTTAATCTATCTGATGTAAGGCGGTTTGTTTAAAATAAGCCACTTAATGGTTAAGATGCAAGGCCGAATTGTAAAGGGAGAATACCCTCTCTTAATCATTAGATGTGCTTATGTGGTTGTCATTTATGTAAAACCCCAAATTTCAAATTCCCCGATACATCACAAGGTTCCCTAAGAGTTCCCACTGTCGGTCTGTCGCACAGAGGGCCTCCGCCATGGTGTTAGGGCCGTCATAACACCACATGAACTCAGCCAATCGACCTGGAACGCATTCTAAACTACACAAGAATTATTAATTCGAAGATTTGAGCCGAGGTTTACCTTTGATTGCAGCTTGAAACTAAATGTTGGTGATTTTAATGTCATCAAAGCATTTTCTTGTAATTGTGATTTTCAAGGGATCGACTAGGTAAAAAGACCTAGGAGGTGCAGAGTACACATTCACAAATGTTGCCTCTATCACCTTAGATTGTCATAAGGTGGGGGTCAAGGGGGCTGCACCTCCTTGCAGGGTCCTAGGGGCAGCACACCGAAGCCTCTGCAGATTTTAGAAGGGAAGTACTTGTGAAATTTGAGTTTCTAAACATCCCGAGTGAAACTCGGAAGGCTAGAAACTTAGGGGCCTTTCACCAAACGTTTACCGGGTGTCACTTACCTTACCGGGTGATCATGGAAAGGACGGAGAATATTACCCGGTAAGAGGCATTGCAAGGATCTAGAACCTTACCCGGCAAGTGAGGGAAAAGACTCCTAGCCAATAAGCGGTTACCAGGTAAAAGACGCTTACCAACAATCTATTTTGATGGCTGAGAATGTTGCCTAGTAAGGTACATTAGGGTAGTAACTCTTTCGATAAGCACTTACCGGTAAGTGTTTGGTAAACAACCCCTTAGTATTTTTGGAGACTAAGGGGCTGCTTACCAAACACTTACCCGGGTAATCGCTTACCATGTCACATTACCTTACCGGATGAATATGGCAAGACCAAGAATATTACCCAGTAAGAGCGAAATCAAGGACCGCAAGTCTTACCCGGTGAGTGAGAGTGACGACTTTTAACACGAATTTGCGCTTACCGGGTAAATTGTTGCATACGATGCCATTTTGGTGGACTGAAAATGTTACCCGGTAAGTGATGGTGATGAATTTTGCCGGTAAGCGCTTACCAGGTAAGCGTTTGGTAAGGGGCCGTTTGCTGAATACTTATCTTGGTAAACGCTTACTGGTTCAATTACCTTACTAGGTGAACATAATAAGCACCGATAATCTTACACATTAAGAGGGAAGACAATGATCGAGAGTCTTACCTGGTTGTTAAGGGTGATGACTCTTACCCGGTAAGCGCTTACCGGGTTATAAACGCTTACCATCAATCAATTTTGATGGCCGGAATGTTACGCATTAAGGTAAATGATGGTGAGTCTTGCTGGTAAGGGCTTACCTTTAAACGTTTGGTCAACGGCCCCTAAGTATGGAGTAAGAAGCTTCTGAGCCTGCATCAGAACCTTCTGATCGTGAAAGACTGACTCAGGCTTATAAGCCTGCCTCTTATCTGTTTCAACCTTATCCACAAGTAGTTGTAACTATTTTGCAGTTATTTACTAACTGCCTAACGACCATTAGCAGTCGATCTCTCATATAAATATATATAATGGTTTGTATAGGGTGAAATATACTTTTTTTTTCTATCTTAAATGCTAGCGTGAATTCTTGGATTATCCGAATACTGGTTCTGGGAAATCTAAGACAGTAAAAGGTCGAAATTTGTAACCATGATACCCAGATTCTCAACTCTAAAAACAAGGTCTGCTTCTTACTCTGTTCCCAACTGCCTTTCTTTCGATTTCTATAGATATTCTTAGGGTTTTTGGTCTATGGGTAGCAATGATTTGATGGCATTAGTATATGCAGTTTTTGTACTATTTTTGGTTGTGCATTATTGTGACCAAAATCATGATTTGGGTTTTCGAAATCTTAGAAGTTTTCAATGTCTTGATTTTGCTACATTGGCAAAACAGGTCCCAGAACTTCCTGTTTGCCACTTTACACCCCAATCACAAATATTATTTTATTATTATTTTCTTTTATTTTCAATAGTTATTACAATTTATCGTATTATTTAATCAAAATTTCACTGTATCTACATGCAAAATATTGGGCCACCTGAAGAGAACATGACACCTTGAAGAGTATACTAGAAATGCAAATGTTGAGGTTGTGGACATACAGTGATTAATAGCCAAAGATAGTGACAGTGTTCTTGAAATTGGTGATGTAGCACTGGTCTGAGGAGAAAGGCCACACAACTGGAAATGTTTGGTCAATTTTAACGTGCGTCTGGTGCAACGGCTAGAAAGACAGACTTGTACCAAAAGGAGGCCTTAAAGAAGATTTATATGGGTGGAAAGTTGTGTGAAGAGAGATTCAAACAGTGGACTATACCAGAAAGGGTTGGCCTTTAGAGACGAATGCTTGGAATTATGCTATTCTTGTGGTTGACCCCAAGAGGTTCACCTCATTTCATAATTTTTTGTTGGGTTTCAAATTTTAGGTTACCTAATTAGTTTGGAGGAAAGCAGTTTTACAATGTCGATTGCATTATGAGTTTTACTTTTTGTGTAGTGATTGTGATAAGCAGAAATATAAATATATCTTTTAGAGGGTGTTTGCTGATGTATCACCATTTGCTGCAGGTAGCAGTATTCCTACTAGCTTGTGTTGTTCTAACTGGGGCGTGGTTGGGCTTCTGGGCTGTTCGTAAGCTTGTCCTGACAGAAGATGGATCAATCGATACAGGCGTGGCTCAATTTGTTGCTTGGTCTTTTCGGATTGTGGCCGCTAGTATGATTCTTCAGGTGCCCCCTTCACATTTTGTTTTATAATTAGAAAGTAATTTTATATTTACAACTGTGAGAAGGGAATTCTGCAAGCTACAGAAGTAGCAAAATTCAAAATCAACCTGGCTAATTGTCCAAAAAGGCACATATGTATTTTCCATTTTGTACTTTTGCATATGTTATTCAGCAAAATAGATAAAGACATTACTGAACTTTCATGCTTTTTTCACTCTTGTATGTCCAAAAAATCCAAGGGGTCATTGACCTAGCGGCATCCGGAATACCAATAGACCCCAACCTCTTTGTAGGTCAAGGGTTCGATCTTTACCAAAGATGTGGACTGTGTGAATTTTGCCGTATAGTATTATATACTTCAATATATATCTATATAGGGGAGGGATCAAATGCAAACCAAGTCATTTGTATAAACCGTCAATTTCATTGTTTAATTTAATGGAATTGTTTAATATGATGAAATTGTTTCATATAACTTTTTTCTTGATGAAACTGTTTCATATATTTCTGTTTCTATGCAAAAATGAAATTGTTTCATGTATTTCTCATTTTGATGAAATTTGTTTTCTAAAATTAATACAATGAACAGGATAATTCCCATAATTAACGCCCTCCACAATAAAATGATTAATCAACCCTCATAATTAAAAAAAGTGAAAAAGAAAAAGATTATGATAAGTTGGATGAGGTTTGTACGGTTTGTATAAATGGCTTAGTTTGCATTTGATCCCTCCTCTATATATATATATATGTGTGTGTATATATATGCTCCAAACTGCTCTATGGGTGGCTTGCACCCGGAGTCCCTTGGGATACCTGGCTTCCTGGCCACACTTTACCTTGTATATATATATATATGAAAAATATATTGCATGCTAGATTCTCACAAGGATATTAATTACATTGTTTTTCATCCGATTCCCATCGATGAATAAAAGGGTCAATGGGGGCTTCAGAAGATTTACAATTTTACATCCTCCCCTTCACATTATCCTCCTTATCTAGTCATCCCGAAATGACAATTTATGTTTTGATAATTGGAAGTTGAAATTGGATGCGAATGATGTAAATGGTTATGGCTGTGAGAGTATATGTGATTCTTTATTGTTTACATTTGAGGCATGCAAGTGAAAACATGATAGCGATGACTCTATCTATTTTGCATAGATTGTTGATATGTTTCATTCCTTTCTGTTCCAGAGTTCGGTGGATCCTTTATTGGCAGTTGATGCATTGGTCTGTGGCGTGCTCATTCCATCTGCATTGAAGGGATTCATCATTTATGTACACCAGTAAGTCTGCTTCACAAACATATCTATACTATATTATAAAGCATTTGACAAAAACTCTTAAAAACCATTTTTTATGCATGAAGTACTGTTTATTGATGCATATTACTTATAATTCAAGATTACAAGTAATTTTGCATAAGTACAACTTATTAAAGCTTCATTTTTAAATTCGTGTAACTAACTGCAGATAAACATAATCAAATACAAGATAAACATCCATTTTAAATATAGAAAACTAAAATATAATTAAGATAATTATTTAGTTCTAACAGAATGTTTAATTATTATCTTTATACAAAATTATATTATTAAATCAAATATATTTTTTTATTAAATCTATTAAATTATAATAAAACAATTGAATTAAAGAAGTTACACAAAAAAAAAGAACTATTATATAGTTAATTTAATACTAATATTTATTTCAAATTTTGATGTTATCTTCAAATTTATATTTATTCAAAAATAAAAACATTATCATTTTCTCAAAACTACATAAAATTGTATTATACCATTAGAGACACAATAAAAACTAAATATTAAAATCGAGATTTATCTCGCTGCATTGCGCGAGTACACTTCTAGTTATATATATATATATATACTATATTATAAAGCATTTGACAAAAACTCTTAAAAACCATTTTTTATGCACGAAGTACTATTTATTGATGCATATTACTTAAAATTTAAGATTACAAGTAAATTGTGCATAAGTACAACTTATTAAAGCTCCATATTTGAATTCGTGTAACTAACTGCATATAGACATAATCAAATATTGGAAAAACATCTTATTTTAACTATAAAAAATCTAAAATATAATTAAGATAATCATAGAGTTCTAACAGAATATTTAGTTATTATCTTTTTAAAATATTATATTATTAAACCTAAATTAAATTTTAATTACAATTTTAATCAAGAAAATTACACCAAAACACAAGAACTTTTAAAAAGATTAATTTGATCTGATATCGTTATTTTTTTAAAAAAATTTATGATATTTTTAGATTTATATTTTATTCAAAAATAAAAACATTATCGCTTTCTCAAAAGCACATAAAAACGTATTATATCTACATGAAAAAGAATAAAACGAAACACTGAAATCAAGATGTGTCTCGATGCATTGCACGATAACCCTTCTAGTATATATATACAGGAAGGGGCTAATCATTTGAGAACCCACAAAATAGTGAGAACCTTGAGAAGATGTGTTATTTCATATGATTTTTTTTGTTCTTCTATGGGCTTAGGATTTAGGGGTATTGATTAACATATATTTGTTTTACAATGTGAACCCGAATACATATATGGTGGGTCCTCTCCAGTTTTGGCTATTTTTGTAATTATGCACTTATTTGGAATTGTACCTTTGCTTGAGATGTCAATTCATTTCCAAATCTGTAGATTGTCATTTAGAAGGAACAAGAATAAGCATAGAAGATCCTACAAACCAGTTTCTTCACCGGCCGTAGATTCTTATGAACATGAGCACAAATTTCAGCGGTTATCAGACTCGAACACGTTCTACTCAAGCTTCCACGATGCACCAGACAGAAAACACTACTCAAAGGATGAATGGGACGAGTTTACAAAAGAGTCGACCAAGAAAGCATTGGAAAGTCTCGTATGCTCGCCAGATTTCAGCCGATGGGCCGTTGATCATGCTGATAGAATCACTTTACTTCCCAAGAAAGATACTAACCGAAGGCACCAGAGTTGGTTACCGTGGTCTTGATCAACTATCGTTGTAATTATGGAAATGCTAACTGATTAATCGTAACAAAGATAGATATATTTTGTAAGATTGTTATATCCCGGTATCAATGTGACCCGAAACAACTTTTAATTAACCAGTGTAGTTTGTCCGCTTCTAAATCTTTTGATGCTTCGGCTTGATCTCAAGTAGGATTTGTTTTTCGTTTAAGTTTTAGATTGATGAGTTGTTTGATTGTTTTTTCATTATGTTTTGTATGAGTTAAAGTGAAATTGATGTTTGGTTGCGAGTATTTATGATGCATTTAAAATGATTTTATTGGTATATAAAAGGAATTTGTAAAATATTTCAAAAAGGTTGTTGAGTCTAAAAATGTTGTATTCAAGTCCTTGTGCTTAAAGTGTTTTACATCGCTTTATAGTGTAGGTTTACAGACTTTGTAGGATAGTTTGTTTTCCATGTAATCTCTAGGTATAAGTAGTTTTGTTAGTTAGTAACAAGTAACAGATATTCCTAGCATCTTTGGGGAATCTGTATATGTGAGATCTTTGAGAGCTCAAGAACATCTTGTACTTTGACTTTCATCAATATACTTGCCGACATAATCATTTTTACAATCTGTGTTCTTGATCTTGATCTTAATTGTGCATGATTTGAATCTGGGATTTACAATTGGTATCAAAGCAAACAAAATCCATTTTCATTGGTTTTGGATTTGAATTGAAGATGAATTCTTGAAATCATTGTTTGAACTGTTTTTGATCATTTTGATCAAATTGGACCATTTTGATCCGTTTTTGGTACAATTGACTTCATTAAAAGTGTTTCTATGTTGATTTCGAGCTAATCTGTGCAGGTTATAGCATTCATTTTTGTCTTTTTGATCAATTTTGATATTTTTCTTGAAGTTTCTTGTTATACATTGTTCATCGTCTATTGAATGCTCATTGAACGTTGTTCATCATGCTCATCCCCCATTGATTTTGTTGTTGAAGTGCTTATCACCCAGTGTATGCATTTTGGATTTTCATCGCCCAAAAGAGTTGGTCGATATATTGTGTTCATCGCCCAAGTATTGCACGGATTCGAACATTCATCGTTCAAGTGTTTTTATTGTGTTGAACGATATTTGTTTCATCGCTCATCGTTTGTGGTTATTTTGTCTAAGTGGTTGGTCTTCATCGTCCAAGGCATAGGCGACAACGGGACCTCATCGCCCAACACTTGAGTGGATGGTAGTCCGTGCTTCATCGCCCAAAGCTTGGCCAATAACCATTATCATCGCCTACTATGTTACCCGGTAACATCCCTCATCGCCCAAAGCGTGAGCGGATTCTTTTGGTGAGTGATAACCAGATTGACCGGATTCTTTCTCCTAATCTTTTGGTGAGCGATAAGGTATACTTGTTGGGCGATATACAAGTATTTTGGGAATTTGTTCAAATTTCAAGGGTTTTATCTGTTATTCAAAAATAGTTCAAGATTATTTTCTGAACGATCAGTTTAAGTATGTTCTTGAAGACGTCTAAAGATATGTTGAGCATCGGATCAGATTCCAAGCCTACCGTGAAACACGTCGATCCTCTGTATATAATTTTTATTTTCTTTTTTTTAAAGGTATAACACAAAGGGAATTTGTAGAATATTCGAGCGCACGCTCTTTATCTTGGTAAGAGTTTCAATAGATGAACGTCACACTCTAAATAAATCGCTTACAATGATAATCGATATACATAAAGATTATAAATGGATTAATAAAATGTCAGAAATAATAATAATAATAATAATAATAATAAT